GGCAGGTTTTCTCCGAGTACTTCGGTTTCCCCTGCCAATCTTCATTCCACCAATTGCTCCACAATCACCCTCACCTAACATCTGGGGCTGGTACAATAGGCCAGAAGTGGCCGCAGTACATGGGACTTAGTCCCACCCCACTGGCAATAACAAAATACTTCTGTTACTGCATTTAGGAAGTAACTCTAGTAACCCTCCCACCTCTCCAATGAGCTAGGCCTCCATGTAATTACTGATTGTAGGAAATTAAAGCAATAAAATTTGGAGACGACTTCCAGTGGATTAAGTCTGATATGAAATTTAATCAAAATCCGTCTAGCTGTTCTCAACTTTAAACATGCTTAGAGATGGACGGATTGATGTAACCCCCATATTCCTTCCTATTGTGGACATCGTGTAGAGAACGCATAACGAATAAACTACGCCTTTGTTGCAGTCGGACCTTTCATGTCGAAACACCAAGCAGACAGTGGGCGCCATCTATACGAGGACCAACTTTGTGACGCTAAAGTACGTCACAGACGGGTGGGGAACGGAGTCCAACGGCTTCAAACTCGTCATCACAGCGTTCAAAGACAAAAGTAAGTAGAAAACTGAAGGAGACAAAAATATCCTTATATGTTAGACTTCACTGCAGTGTTCTAATCTGAACAGTGGCAAGTGAGCTAAATGGGAGGTCGTTTTCTAAGAGATATTAGTCTGTCCGCGGATTCTCAAAATGCGCAAAAAATTTTATCTCTGATATAAAATAGCATCTGTAGAATTTCTAATGAAACAATTTAAAAATACGATCGCCGAACTTGTGGCTCGCAAGCCGAAATTACCACGTAACTTTCAGAATGATATATTTTACATAAGCATGTACCTCTAGAAACTTCTGATGTATAAATATTTGCAGTAGCACTGATATACTTTCCTTTTTACTTACAGCAATTAAATGACTAGCTCCTCTAGAACAAACAGGTTTATTCAATAAATGCTCTGTTTTTCGTACAGACCTGCAAGCATCCCTTACTAGTTCCATTTATACCTACGGGCAAATGGTGATAGTGGAGTCCGACGCTTAAAACCACGGCACTGGGCACAATTCTCGCATCCTGAGATTTGTGCATAAGAATTTCTGTGCGCATTTCTTGTATCCCACGTGTCCATATTTAACTATTCTGAATCCGACTGCCCCATATAACTCACGAAATTTCTTCTTATACAATTACATAAATTTCTTCATTTATTCTCCTTAGATCTAAAAACTTTCCTGAGTATTTTCTTTCAAAAACTTGTAATTTTTAATAATTCTTCAAAATGTATCACTTTCTGCATCCATGCAAAAAATTTGCAAAATTGTTCTATCTATGTGCCCTTATCTTCAGTTTTCTGAAACCTAGACAAAATATTCATGAAGTGGGTCATAAAGGTACAGGGTTGGAAGGTGTGGATCGGATTCATCTGCCTCAAGATATGTATCAACGTAGGGCTATTTTTGACAAGGTAGTGAATCCCATGTCCAGAAGGATTCTGCCCCATGAAGTTGAGAAGGAATTCCAGAACCCATTCTCTCCTGCTTTCTAGTTTAATATTTAGTTCTGATGTAAAACTCACTTTTGTCAGTATTCAATAATCTTTTCTACAACTGCAAACATTTACTTGAGTTAAAAGGATTACTACCAAAGACTAATTTCCAAATCCCCTTCAGAGAGAACAGACAGTGTTTAGAAAACACGGACATATGGGACATTCATGTATATAAAACACGGGTCAGCTCACATTGTCTGTTGCTAATGCATGTTACTGTCCTCTGGATATAACACCGTGGGGACCAACGCTGGGACCCTCCTACTAGATTACATCCTGATGGCGCTATGAATGTTCACTGCCGTACGGTAAATCTAAAGCATTTCCGGTCTGTACAAATGTAGTTTTCCGAAAAGCAGAATTTATATATGACACTCAAACACCCGCCATTACTCGTAAGTAATGCTATCCAGTCCTCAAGTAGAAAAATTGCAAAGAAAATTATCAGGACGCCTGCAATTCAATGTTTAGACTACATGTCTGACATACTTGTCGGAGAAGTTGCCGCTTATGCACGGCGCACTCTTGGACTCTTCTGCATCTTATCCCGAACATATGAAGGGATACAGCAAATCTATAGCGGGCCGCGCTATATAGCTCAAGCGGTTAGTCGCTGGCTTCCTACCGCGGCGGCCTGAAGAATTTCAGGACGCCTGCAATTCAATGTTTAGACTACATGTCTGACACACTTGCCGGAGAAGTTGCCGCTTATGCACGGCGCACTCTTGGACTCTTCTGCATCTTATCCCGAACATATGAAGGGATACAGTAAATCTATAGCAGTCCGCGCTATAGCTCAAACGGTTAGTCGCTGGCTTCCCACCGCGGCGGCCCGGGTTCGATCAAGTGGGATTTGTGGTGGACAAAGTGGCGCTTGGTCGGGTTTTCTCCGAGTACTTCGGTTTCCCCTTCCAATCTTCATTCCACCAAATTCTCCATCATCATAATCACCCGGGGCAGCCTGCAATAGGACAATCAGTGGCCGCCGTGCCGAGTGGACCCAGTTTGACTCCACCCCCCACTAAACGAATTAAAAAAACATTTATAGCAATTAAGTATTGGAAATGTATAATTCTCATGTGACTGGACATTGTCCTAAACATTCGAAGGGATCCAGCATACATATAAGTTTTAGTGAGCGACGCTGGTGTATATTGGGCTATTCCTCTAATATTAAGGGACAAATCGTCACGACTGGTAGCCTTAACACTTCGGGGCTAGAGAAGTGGTAAGGATTAAAGAAAACTTGGAAGAAAAAAAACAGTGGGATTTTAGGTGTCCCTACCGAGATTCTAACTGATTATTTCCGTAGAGTCGGAACTATTTCCTGTCCCCTTTCATAAATAATTTATATTTATAATCTTCTAGTAATAATTCTCATTCGTGAAATCATGGCACTATCCTCTGCTTGCTCTAAGGGACAAAAATTTCTCGAAGCTGTCATTCTTTCATAAAACGCCATACTTAAAGAGAGGAGGAGTGGGTAGTTGATCGGTGAGTTACTGAGTTAGTTAGAGGACTGCTACAGTTCATTCGTTGTGAGAAGCTGATAGCTGAGGCCACGTACTGTTCGGGAACCCAGAGGAAGGGGAACATCCGCCATTGGAAGCTTCTACCAAGCAACGCCTAGTGAAGAGGTGACTATGGACATCAGTGCGTGTAATAGTGAATTATAAAGTGTAGTTGCGCGGCGTGTCAAAGAGTCCAGTAAATCCAGTCACAAGACCAAATCCCATCTGTAGTCACTCAGTACGCGTGACGATATGATATTTGGTTGAAGGGAGTTTTTATTCTGTAAAGTTTAAATTTAAGAAGGTAGAGTTTTGGTATGTTAGCATTAAATTCCTTTTTACACGAAATTCTATGACATTTCCTTTAATGTCATTAGGAGAAAAGTTCCAGCGCGATTCAAGAAACAGTATTGTTGTGCAGTGAAGGACGCAATTGCGCAAACATGAGTACGAGCCGGTTACATTACTCTGTATCTGACTAAAAGCGAATTGATATACAAGCATCGCATTTCTGTGTTCAGTAGCCCGAAACAGTGCAGGCCCAAGTTTTATTCCTGGGGGAGTTGCAGAGAGAAGTGTTCAATAATCTAGTGCAGAATAATGGCTTAAGAGTTAAAATTTTCGCTGCAAGATGGCAGCTCCATATTATTTCCCTATCAGATTAACTAATCAATCAATTGTAATGGTTTCGCTTATATTGCACATTCTCGAATGCTTAATTGATTGATTGATTGATTGATTGATTGCATAAGTAACAGACCAGATTTATGATAGTGACGGTATCGATGTTATTGGTGGAATAATTGAACCATCTAATACCCAGGTTTATTTATGACATAATGTAAATTGATCTAGTAAATACCAAAGTTACTAACTACGAACTAACTACGTACATTTTTAGTCTCAAATAGTAATTTTTATCACGTTAGTCCTACTCCCTTTTGGATTTATAGTACCAACACCTTTTAATGAAGATATTCATATCATTCTCAAAGCAAAGAACTATTTTCTTTATAAATTTATTTTTTAAATTCAACACATTCTCTGTAAAAGGAGCCAGAGGCATTTAAGAGCTATGCATATTTGTAAATATTTGTGTAGAGAAACTACAAATTACGTACTTAATGGAGTTAGAAAGTTTTAGGGAAATTAATAACATAAGAAACCGCTAAACGGGTTCTGGTCTGAGGAACGGGTTATGCGCTAGAAAACAATGCCAAGTGAAAACAATTGATTAATTTTAAAATTCTAATTACAAACGTAAAAAAAAGTTATTCTATCATAAAATAGGAACTATCAGTAAAGGAAGCCCTACCTGTTTCATTTTAAACTCTCCACAATCTCGTGAAGGCTATGATAATTTAAGTTAATGATATTACAATGGTTATGAATAAGGAACTGACAGGGGAAAGGAGTAACTTGTCTTAGCCTTCTACATGTCTAACGTACACTTCTAGGCTTTGGTCAGCATTCAAAGCTACAGAGAATATATGTTCTATGTGGCGTTTGATTCAATGCTTTTAATTCTGTACCACTTCGGACCCCAGGGGGAAGCTCCCGCACGCCAATTGTGATACACGCACGCGCAGTGTCACCTCAAATAACTGATTGCTAATCAAAGAACAGGGGAGGAGAAATCCTGTCGTAATGTGACATACAAAATCCTTCCGTCTGACCACTTACCTTTCTCCGTTTCATATCACTGGTCTAGTTGCTAGGAGACAAAACAAGGTTGTATAGTTTATAAAGCGCTGGCAACCGTGATCAATAAGAACAGACACGGTTGTAAACAATAAAAAGTGTGAAGTGATATCCTACCAATTTGAAATATTATTACTTTTTTATTTCATGACACTCTCAGTAGCTAGACTACACGGCGCCGAACGGTGAGAACATAGATACGGTGCTGACAGTCGAGGTAGCTACAATCCTGGCATTTGCCTGAAGGAACTGAAGGAGAACACGAACAACCTCAATCAGGATAGCTGATATCCTGGCAGAGATTCGAACTAAGGACGTTTTGAATACAAGTCTAGATCGTTACCGTCATGGCAACCCACTCAGTAAACTAATGAGATTATGTCTGTCTGTTCCAAGGTGTAAGTCTTGGTTATTTCTTCTCCTTTGGTCATGACAAACGGCTGCTTCCCTGCTTCGGTGCATTAGAAACTGCCTCCTTCTTAGTCTTGGCTACTGGCCCTTGTCTTTGCCCTCCACCAATTCACCCGAGGAAACTGCGGTTTTCAGATATTTCTTGATAAACGGAGACAACTTCTCAGAGTCAGTCTTGTAGTTCGCTGCTACGTGCTTCGTTATCACCTGAGGTCAATACGGACCTTAGACAAATAGGATGGACTGGATTTATCTGGCTTGGGTTAGGGACTAGTGGCCGGATCTTGTAAACTTTTCAGTTCCATAAAATGTTGAGAAATTCTTGAGTAGCTGAGCGACTGTTGGCTTCACAAGGAGGACTCAGTTCCATTGAGTTAATTAGTTGG